TTCAACTAATGAAAAGTGGAGCTCATTAGAAAAGAAACGCTCTGAGAAGAACTCATAGCTGGAGTCTTCAGCCAGTTTTCATCATGTTTCGTTTCAGCTGAAGGAGAAAAACACATGAGCCACAGAAGCTGAAGACACAAGAGTTCAATGTGTGGAAAAGATGTGCAGAGAAAATGAAAGAGCATCAGAGGCCCAGATGTGTGCTGTGGTGAAGTGGAACAGTTTGAAGATCAAACCACTGGAGGCAGCTTTACAAGTGGGAAACCTTCAGTCACAGGTTGGAAAGACAAAGAAAAGCAGAGGAGCACACACATTTGATCTGACTTGATTGATTTTACTCTTTATCTGCTGAGTCAGCCTCGTTTAGAGGACATGATGAGACTTCAGGAAGACAGAAGTGATGCAGGTTTTTACAACTTGTAGAGTTCTTCATCAAGTCTGACTGGAATTAAAGGACACCTTGATGGGATGAAAGAAAAGAGCACTTGTGTCTCTGACRTCAAGCAGAAGACAAAATGACATAAAAACCCTGCTGATGTGGTTTCTGCCAACATGACTGGACTCATTCAAAGCTGTGGCAGCTTCCAGAGTCTGCAGACTGTGGAGCCTTCATTCTCTGAATGAAAGCTGCTGAAGACTAAACTCTGCAGCTGATTTTTGTCTCACCTTCATTCTTTTCTTAACACACATGATGCTGCTGTGTTCTAAAGTTTTCTCCACATCTGATTCAGTTGTATGTCTCCATGTTTACTAGTTTGTAATCCATCACAGCACACTGAAGTGGAACAGCTGTCAGACTCTTGATCAGTTGAACTGAGGCCCCCTGAGCAGTTCAGTTGATCAGTCCTGACCTGAGCTCTGACTTTCTACAGGAAGCTTTGACACAATGAAGTGACAGGTGCTGTGGCTCAGCTGTTCAAAGCTCCTGGCTCGTAAGCAGGAGGTCCTGGGTTCAAATCCCAACACTGCCTATAAGCGGCATTCATATTATAGACATTCCATCTGAACCCTCTTAACTTGGAGCTTCCAAAAGAGAAAAATACCTCATCATGATTACTGAAGCAGTCATAAAGCCTCAAAACACCTCTTCACTACTTTCATTTAGATCAGATCTTTATTGTCACTTTTACAAGAAACATCTAAACTGTAGGTGCAGTCCTCAGTCTAGGACATACACTAAACAAATGTACATAAAACTAAATAAAGAATAATAATAATGAGTTCTAGAGTGTGGAGGATCCAGCTGACTGTTCTCTCTGAGATGATGAGCCTGTGGAGCATGTTCCTTTCTGAGGGACTGCAGCTGCCGGACCACCAGTCTGTACGTAAGTACGCTCTCTAGGACCAGTGGTAGAAGGTGAGGAGCTGATTTTACTAAAGATGCTTTTTACTGAGGTTTCTCAGGAAAAAACATCCTCTGATGGAGCTTTTGAAGTAACACTTTGGTGTTGGTGCTCCAGGTCAGCTCATCCTCCAGCTCCATGCTCAGAAACCAGAACACTGGTCCCCTCTGCACACAGGTCCCCCAATGATGAGGGGCCAACAGTAAACTGTACTTTATTTCTGCTGACTAACACTTCTGTAGATTTACAGAAGTTTTATTTCTCTCTTTATTTATTCTTTGACTTTTACTTAGTAAAACAAATAGAAAACATCACAAAAACATTTTGTTTGCAGCTGCAACACAAATCTTTATATATTCCATAAACAAGAATCATTCATTTTAAAATCTTTACAACAGATTTTATTCTAATTTCATATTAAAAAATTATTCAAATGTCACATTAATAACTTTATTAATAGTTGCTTCATATACAAGTCAAAATATCTGCATGTTTATGTAGGTTTAATACCAAGAACATGTTTTACTCACAACTATTTTAATGCAATTATTTTCATCTTTATTATTCATATTCCTGAATTCATTCACACATTCATACAACTGTTCATATCAGATTAAAAAAGAAAATGTAAAAATGTCCTGCACTGTTAAATAGTAACTAATAATTAGAGTAAAACAATAAAAACATTTGTATCATAATAATTATCTGAACATCTTAAAACATTGTAACAATTGTGTAACTCCAACAGAACACTCAGATAATACCTGGACCTAGATGACTACAGAGCTCTTGTCATCTAGGACATGCATTTATAACAAAATATGAACTTTAACACTAAACTAACAGCAGAAATATATTCATACTGTATGTTATTGTGAGAAAACAGGCAGTTACTAACAAACATCGACGCTACACATTTATCACTAAAACTTGGAAATGATCAGATTAAATTCAGTCACAACATTTTTATTCTGTTTGACAGTAAGATGGTAACAAGATGATTTAAACTAAACATTTGATTCCAGCAACTAATAAAACTTCATTGTATTAAACATCTCTCAGTTTCTACTGTCCATCCTAACTCAGTCTCTTCTGCTCTATCCTGTAACAGTAGCGCCCTCTGGTGACGAGGACAAAATAACAGCAACCAAAAAGAACGAATGCAGTCAAAAGTTTACATACATGTTCTTAGTATTTGGTATCAATGGGCCTCATGCAAGAACATGTTCGTATTCTTATCCTAAATTTCTCTTACTTTTGTTCGTATGAAGGGTTCRTACAAACATGTCATGTCAGATTCAACAAACTCTTCTATCTTCAGGAAAAGTGTGTAAATGAGCTGCATAAACTGATGAATGCGTATCAGCTGCTCGTGCACAAGGAGAGGTGATTTACATAATTACCACCCCAAAAAACACCATATAAGGTCACGTTTCCTGCCCGACATACCAGGAAGTGTTCATTCATGAATGACATAGGAAAGTAAAATAGAAGAACTTTACGAGTTCGGACATTGAAGTCCYGCATTCAGAGATCCAGAAGAAAAAAAAAACTGTCATTTTTAGCAGCGTCAGACCTGCTAAAGCCGAGGAATGAAATGATGACTATTGTCAATGTCGTGTCTCCTGTCACAGAAATAAGAATATAAAACATTTATCTCTCTCTGTAGTCCTGCTCCGGTTTTTCTTTCGTCAAATATTTTTAATTTAAGTGTAAACAAGCCGCGCACCGCTCCCCCCGCCACCCTGTCCATCCCAACTGCAAGTGTCAGATGCGTTTCTGAAAAAAAGCTTTTTAAAATGTCTCAAAACTTCAGTTAACTTAATTTTAATATTGTAGTGCTATACAAAATAATAATGGCCAATTTATTTTATATTAACCAATATATGTCATTAGTCTTTTACATTTAAAATTATTATTCTAATTCAAGCAGAATAGCCTATTGTCAACATAATTATGGAGTATGATTTATTTTCAACTCGAAATACCTTCTAACTAGTGAAATATGAAGTCATTACTGAAGAAATCTGTCTGGATAACAGCAGACTGACTGCTGGTAAAATATACGACAGGTCTGGACCACACGTGAATTTTGTTCCTATCTGAAAAAAATCATAGAATATGAAAACATTGGTGAATGTCACAAATTCTCCTAAATCACTCGTACGCACAACTTAAGAACAAATCTGTGCGTACGAACGGTTCTTGCATGAGGCCCAATGCCTTTACAATGAATGACTTGAGTCTAAGTTTTGGGTATCCTTCCACAAGTTTCTGTTAGTTTGCTGGAATTCTGTCTCGTTCTCCCTGACAAAACTGGTGGAACTGACTCAGGTTTGTAGGCTGCTCTTTTCAGTTTGGACCATTAACTTTGGCATTCATACACACCAAAGGATGAACCAGAGTTGTGCAGGTCAACAGTTTTTCTTTCTGATATCAGGACTGATTTCTTTTGATTGTTCCTGGGGTCTCACACAAAGAAACAGTGTTTAGGGTCAGCCTTAAAATGTGTCCACAGGTGTGTCTGTAATCACTCCAATGCTGTCAATTAAAATATTAAAGTTTCCCGATCCATGGCATCATCATCTTCATCATCATCATCATCTGGACTTTCTTAACTTGGTGAAGAGCAACATAGTCTTAGTTTATTTGAAGTGTGTGTAAAGACAAACTGATGTTTCCTCTTGTGTGGTTTCAACTTAGGAGTCATATGAGTGCTTTGGTTTTAAGTGTGGATTCTCATGTGTCTGTTTAAATGGCACTTTTCAGTAAACTTTCGATTACACAGCTCAAAACAAAATGGTTTCTGTCCTGTGTGGATTCTCATGTGTCTGTTTAAGCTACCTTTTTCAGTAAACCTCGATCACACAGCTCACAACTAAATGGCTTCTGTCCTGTATGGATTCTCATGTATGTTTAAGTGGCCCTTTTCAGTAAACCTTTTACCACAGACTCACAACTAAATGGCTTCTGTCCTGTATGGATTCTCATGTATGTTTAAGTGGCCCTTTTCAGTAAACCTTTTACCACAGACTCACAACAAAATGGTTTCTGTCCTGTATGGATTCT